CGTTGGATCGTCCGGATCCACTGGCTGGCTGTCTGCTGAATCTGCCCCCCTCTCCGCCGAGGATGGCACGGAGTCGGGCCATTGCGTTGCCCCCAATGGCGGGTGCCACGTGCCCTCCCCTTGATCGCCTGGCTCGAAGAGCGAAGGTGGGCGTTCGTCTCCAGCTTCCGGGTGGTTGGCGTCGTTGGTGCTCTGCGTGTCCACGTGCACCGTCCCGTCCAGGACGCCCGCCACCATGTTGAGCGCAGTCAGCACGGCATCGCGGCCCTCCGACAGGAAGGGCATGAGGCCCCTGATGTACTTCAGGTGGCTGCGCAGTCTTGCTTCCCCCTGCGGTAAGACTGCTTCGCGTTCTTCGGCCCCCTCATCTAGTGCCACCACATCGGCCGGATGTGCAACATTCAGCATGCCTTCTTCGGTCTGGAGGTCCTCTGCATCGTCAAGCAGGAAGCCCACCGCGTGCGCCCACCCCGGCGCCAGCCACTCTAGTTGGTTGTTGACGGTGAACCCCAAGGCCGTCTTGAGGGCTGCGCGGGCCTGTTCCATGCCCAAGAGGGCATTGCGCAGCTGCCGCCCCCCTTGTCCCCGCGTGAGGATCTCAAGGGATGCTTCTCCTCTCTCCAGTTCTCGTAGTGCATCTTGCAGGGCCTGATAGAGCCATTGCTGTCTGGCCCCGTCCTCGTTGTCCTCCGCTTCGATGTCCTCCATGCGCATGCGGAGGATTTCAAAGTAGTTGATGTGCCGCCGTCGTCTTTTAGGTAGCGGGCCACAGTCTTCGCTTTGTCTTTCCGGCTCACGGTGCGAGTCCAGCTCCAGCATGGCCCTTTCCAGAGCCTCCATCGCCTGTTGCCCTCTCGTCGTCTGAGGCAAGGCAGCCAACGCCTCACGGATCCAATGCCGGATCATGGCTGCCTCCATCGTGAGCAGCCCCCTTTGGTTCGTTGCTACTGCGGCTTGAGGTCCATGGCTCGAGGACGCTGTTGCACTACCATGTGTCTGCTGCATATACGAGGTCTCCTCTGTGTCGCTCTCCCCCTCTCTCTCTCTCTCTCTCTCTCTCTCTCTCTCTCTCTCTCTCTCTCTCTCTCTCTCTCTCTCTCTCTCTCTCTCTCTCTACCGGGCGTGAGGGCAGAGCGGCTTCAGGCTCTAACCCTCGTGCGAGTCCGCACACCCGCGTTTCGCGGGCTTTCCCTATGGGCTCGGCTGTACTGGGACTTGGGGTTTCAGGCACCTCCCCCATCTTGTTGCAACAAGTACGCTACAGCAAGACGAACACCGCGGTTGGTAGGTACAGTGCACGTGGTAAGGTGCCTCTCCCCTCTGTGCCGGCTCTCCCCTCCTATTCTCACAAAGGCAAGAAACTGTTTCAGAAAAGCACAGCTTGGCAAGAACAGACTGAGGGCCGGGCCAACCTTTGTGAGCTGCAGTCTAACACACATGTATGCTTGGCCACGTTACAGAACATGTCCCTCTTGAGCTCTGGTTGGCAAAAGTATGCTGGTATGGAGCACTTCCCCCACTGAGAATCCTGGTTACGGAACAGGTCAGTTTCCATTCGAAAGAAAGCATTGCATCAAGTGTGGTCCCCCCAGGTTCTCAGTAGGGTCCATGCTTGCCGTAGAAAGCTGCCTGGAGCCTACGACGCCTATGGCTCCCTCCGTCATCGTCGTCTTGACGGGGACTTCGGGAGCGCCCCCTCTCAGCGTCAGCTCGCCACTCGCTCCCCCCAGTTGGTGGAGCTTGCCACGGGATCGTTGTCCCTTCGCTCTCGGCTTGTGTCGGTAGCGTCGCCATATCCCCCGCTTCGTCCCTGCGTCGGTGTTGTCGCGAAACTGCTCCGGGTTGCCGTCGGGATTCTCGGTCTCCCCGTTGTGGTTGACGGTCCCCCCGGCGGCCGCAGGAATCGTCTCTCCAGTCTGGGTGCCTTCGTGGATCGCGTGGACCCCCCCAAAGAGAGACTGTTGCCATGCTTCCAGTGCATGGAGCATCTCCAGTATCGGCATCAACACGTGGTCCCCCACGAATGGTACCACATTCCGTAGGAGTGTGGCTGCTCTCAACAGCCTGGTTGTCGAGGAGCCGGTCTGGCTGGTTCTTGCTGCCCACTCATTTTGGGCTTCCCCCGCTCAGTTCAGGACATCGGCCGGGTGAGCCTGCGTGGTGTCGGGCTCCATGGTGATGGCCTCCCCTCTCTTGGTGGCAAGATGTGGCAAGCAAGGCTGCCGGGGCCAACATGTCGTGGAGCGCGTTCCACCATGCCAGGGTGTTCCAGGTGCGGTCCCCCCGCATGGTGGGAAGGATCGCCTCGTCCACGCGCTGGTATGCTGCTCTAAGCTGGCTGTCGGCCTTGTTGAGAGTTTTGTGGCACATCTCCCGGCATTGGCTCGCGGAGTTCCCCCAGACCAGCTTCGATCATAGCTCGGAGTTGGCTAAGGTCCGTTGCAAACTCTTCTGGCGTGAAGCCCTCTCCCCGCCGGACTCGCATAGACGCCACAAAGCGATACGCTTCACTGACGCCGGAAGGTCCGGCAAAGGCTGCGCCCATCCCCCGCGGATGTGCATGCGGGTAGCTCTCGGCGTGGCTAAGCATGCGGAGGGCGATGGCGCAGATGTTGGAAATGATCTCCCCATCTCTGTTTGCCAGGCCATCGGCGATTTCATGTATCATCTGTATCTGCGCCACTGCTGCCTGGATTGCCCCCCGTTGTGCTGCCAGCCGGGCTTCTGCATCTGGCTGGTCCGCGGAGCCTCTGGCTCCCTCGTCTCGTGGTGGGTCTGCGTGGCTCGTTGGTGCCATGGCTCGCGTCCCCCGCGTCACTCTGCGTCGTCCCTCTCTCAGTTGGTCGGCGAGAGGCGTGCGTCGTCGTCTGCGGACCAGGCCCACATTCTCCTCGTCCGTGGTCGTGCCGTTGAGCTCCCCCTCGGAACCATTTGGGCATGCCGTCGGCGAGCTCGGCGTGGTCGTGGTTGAGGACGTCGTAGTAGGCAGGTACTCTTGCATGAGTTCTGTGCCATCGTGCTCTTCCCCCTCCGCTGGTGATGGGCTGGGCTTTGGGCCAAAGTGCCTGCCATCACGAACTTGGTGGTACCACGGTGTTGGTGTGGGCTGCGGCGGTGGGTGTTGTTGTGCTCTAGCAGCTGCTTGCTGTGCTTCCTGGCTCGACCTCCGTAGGGTCCTGCCATCAGAGAGTGGATCTCGCGGTCTGGCGAGCTGCTGCGTCTGTGCTTGTGGTTGTGGCTGTGGTTGTTCCGGCTCTGGCTCCGTTGGGCCCGCTTGCTCGGTTGTCGGTTGTGGTGGCTGTGCTTGTTGATCCCCCGTCTCCGGGTGGTGGTGGTGGTTGTGGTCGGCGTGGTGGTGCTCTGGTTGTGTCGTGGCTTCCGTCCTGAAGAAGTGGTCTGGCGTCGTGGTGGTGAACTGGATGCTCCAGTGTGTGTTGGTGGAAAGGAGAAGGAATTGATCCCCCACCTGTAGCGCCAGGCTTTGGTGTTCTTGGTGGTGGGGCGTCGGCACCTGCGTGACGGTGGCCAGCCAGCGCCGTTCTGATATCGGTTCCAACAGCAGCCATGTTTCTCCGCTGATGGGTGGGTAGACTCTCTCTCTCTCTCTCTCTCTCTCTCTCTCTCTCTCTGTCTCTCTCTCTTCACTTCACTTCACTTCACTGGGGTCTCTGTCTCTCTCTCTCTCTCTCTTGCTTGCTTGCTTGCTCAGCGTGTAGGGTAAGGAGAGCGGGTCCCCTCACCCCTGCGCACGGCGCTCTCTCTCTCTAGGGGCACGCCCCTGCATGGGGTCTGCTCGGGTTCGGCACACCCGACAACAGAGGCGATATGATCTTGCTATTATCATTCCAGCAATTGCCTGTCAGAGTATTCTAGCTCGACAAGGTTATTGTTCGAGGTGCAGGTGGCACCTTGTCCTTCGGAGTCTTTGGATTGCACTGCTATCCGTCCAATTGAAACCGCTCGGTTCTATGGGAGGGTCGGACCAGGCCAATGACACGGCCGGCAAGTGAAGTTGCTCATCGCTAATCCCCAGATCGATCAAGAATTGGCCTAGATTCATTTTCGAACTGACATGACAAGAACACCCATTACGTGAGCAGTGGCAGTGGTGCGAGCGGTGCAAGCCGTGCAGCAGGTAAGGACCGAGCGGCGGCACATAAGATGGGGTCCTTTGTGCCATGACCTGCGAATATGGACCAGAACACGAAGGTTGCGCATGTTGGTATCAAGATTGAAGCTAAGCGGCACTCCAGGGTGCTGCCAACTCTTCTTTCAGGGTTGTGCTGCCTTTGCAAACTTACGATGCCGTGCTGCGGCACTTCAGCTGCAACATATGGGCGTTGCTTCCATTTACAAGAATGCTGGGTCCTTACTGACCTGGAGTGAAGTTGCCACCTTCATGGTACGTTCAGACCCATGTGGCCAAATGGCTGCGCGATGGCGAGAGTTGCAGGAAACAAAACTTACCGTAGCAAGGCGATGTAGGGCTTCATGGTGCTTCCATTGGCCAGCTCCGGTTTCCGTTCGCTCGGAGCCCACGCTCCTTTTTCTCTGCATATCTCTGCATCCCGCCCGTCGCTCTCCGGCAGGCCTAGAAAACTGCGGCTTGCCTTGCACTTGCCTCGCTTGCCTTGTGGATCCGTCCCGAAGCACGTAGTGCCCCCATCTCCACTTGGCGGAGTACATGGAATGGATGCCACCGTCGCAGTTCGAAGAGCGCGACGGCCAGCACGGCAACGCGCGAGCCTTAACCTTTGCACAAGGAGTCACACGATGCTTCCCTCTGCACAGTGCCGCTACCAGCCCTCTCTGAAACAGGGCATGTGCCCCGGTTCACACAGTTTGGGGCTCAACATCCGGCCAACTGTGCGAAGCTCTACTTGTACAACAGCGCCATCGACTTCTTTGCACCATTGACCCCATTCTGGAGTCTCTCCACACCAGCGGCGCTCATCTTGTGCGAGCCGTTTCACGCCAAAGGGGGCACGATGAGTTTCTGGTCAGACTCGTTGCAAATGTCCTGCAGAATGTGAATGATACAGGGGACCCTGGCTGAAATGCCACCACGTACAAGTCCTGCTCTCAACCCGCGGATTCTCACAGAAATATCCATCTTAACCTTGGCCTGCATTCCAAGATGGATAAGTAAAAGGCAAACTGCAACACACAAGCTAGCTTCCATGCCCGAGTGGGTCCCCTCCATCTCCCGCGGAAAGGCCGGGACGAAGCGAGGATTCAATTCAGAAACGCCAAAGCCAAGCCAAGGCAGACCTCACCCAAGGGCCAAGAATTTCTGTAAACTTCAAAGCAAAAAAGCTGCCGCGCATGCCTGGACGCTCGTCGGGAACACCCTGACCGTCACAGCAAAGGAGGCCTGCTGATCGCAAGGTGCCAGGCCTGCAGCATACAGGACCGCAATGGCGGCTCTCCTCCGGAATCCAGGATGGACCTCTTTGCCGATACCACGCGCACGACTGCAAACATTACAGCAGGCCCAGGCCTCAAGGACATGCTTGGCAAACGTCCAACTTCGCTATCCTGATAGGAACTTGTGCCATCAACTCGCATCGGCTGTAAAACCGGCAATGCCACGGGCCGAGGATTTGGCGCCCGTATACGCAGTTACCAAGTATGAAAGCCAGTCACCAGTCACGAAGAGCTGGATTCGTATCGAATCGAGGTACGCACGTATTTGCATGCGTATTTAGGCTTCCATGATTACATGCGTGTTTATCGTGTACTTGCTGCCGCCCTCTCGCGCCCCAACTTCTGAACTGAGGACGCCCACTGATTAAGGTGTTTCGCCAGACTTGCAACGAAGGGTCCTGTGAATCCAGCAATGCCATGCTCAAGTTCCTGGACAGGTCCGTCAAATCATCGACGATATGCACAAGGATTTGGAACCTGCAGAGTCGAAGATTCGAAAGCAAGACTACGTGAGCAGAGCGAGCTAAGCCGTGAGCCACTGCAACGGTATCCGATAATCATCTTTGCTCTGAACCTGTCCACCGTGATTTCATCTCCAGTTCACTGTCTAGACGAATTTCTGATCAACGTGCTCATGCCTCTCGAAGCTGTTCCTGCTTGCTCTTGAACTCATCTCTGGTCCTTCAGACTGCCAGGGAGACTGCATGCGACGCGTAGTTTGCAGCGAGTCCTCAGGTATGTCCGCACCAAATCTTCTGTAATGCCCACGATCTGAGACACTTCCTGGAGGATGTGATGCAGCACAGTCTGAAGGCCCGGATGGTCACTCAAGACAAGTCTGCACTCCACAGTCCTTTGAAGAGTACTGCCGAGAATCCAGGTTATCCATAACCTCAGGAAAGAACTGGATGCGCTGAGGCCCTGCACTGCTGAAACAAAATGTGAGTAACCATGCTCGCCAGGGCAATGTTCAAGCACGCTCTCCGAAGAAGATCGGACACGATTACATTCTGCTGGTGCACCATCAACCCAATGATCTTTCAGGAGGCGTCGGTCGTCAAGGTCAGGCTTCTTTCAATCATTGGCGGGAAACGGGCTGGGGCAGCTCGGGCCGTTCTGGTTGCGAAATGGTTTGAACCCTGATGAACCCTGGACGGTCGCCGCGCTCTTTTTCTCGTGCTGCCATCGTGCCTGAGTGGATATGTCAGCGCGTATTTGGCTTTTTCATGAGCGCTCTTGCTAGGCTTCGCCTCATTGTAAACCCTGTAATCTCGCATGTCCGTTGCATGTTCTTCGAAGGAAGGTCTGCATCGGAGCTCTTGAAGAAAGCTTGCTGTTTGTCCTCGGGACGTTAATGGGCTTCTGCAGTTGCATGCTCATGGTGCTCCGTGCTACGAAGTCGACACATTCAACACGGCTCAGGCCGACCGTGTTGCAGCCACCGAGGCTCCGCCAAGAAAACGCACTGACGTGGACTGGGCACTTCCGCGCCAGTCTTTGCGCGCCATGGAGAGAATTTGGACACAGCACAGAACATACAAACTCTTTACAAGGACGGGCGACAGGTCAATACGCAGAATCCCACCCAACGCGGTGAAAGACGTCCACCTGTCCACAGGAAATCTTGCGGGGCCCCTCTTGTCCTATCTTGAAGCATCCTTCATGAACACCTAGTTCAAGAGAGCAGATCACGGCAGATCTGCTTGCACAAGGAAAGTAAAACTAAGAACGGCTGAGTGGGAGTGGTGCAACAGCATCAAAGGGCATGCAACAGCATCAAGGCCAGACGACCCTGACATAGCCGTCTTGAGCGTTACGGCACTGAAATGAGCAGCACCTGCTAGCCTGACACACATGACAGCTAAGCGAAGCAAAATCAGCTGCACACTGGAAAGAGCCGAGGGTTGATGGGAAGATCCGGAAATCGCAACCTGCGCATCAACACAGACAAGCAATTTTCATTTCAGGTGGTAAAACCGAACTTGGTGTTGCACTGATCTGACACGAGGTGTCCTTTCTGGCTTACCTCACAGAGGCTTGCCCGGTGTGATAATGACAGAATGGCAGGCCAAGCATGAAGAAAAGTCTTAGCCCATTGCCATAGCGTTCTTCTCATCAACCCATGTCCTTGCTCAACGTCGACAGTCTGTGCCGGACATGGTAAGATGCATTGCAACAAGGAGGCAACACTGGGAATCCTCCATCGCAGCCCTCGCCCAGCGTTACATTCAGTCGGAAAGCCGGTGCCCTGGAAAATCTTGATCTCCAACACTGCCGGTGCCTGACTGCTTTCTGAAGTTGCTATCAAGGGCAACTCAATTTGTTGGATTCGGTTTGTGTTTGTCACATGCAACACCTACTTGTGTTCGTTCGACTTTCGCCTCAAAACTGCTTGAATCACTGTGTGGACAACATGCTGAAGACGGAGGCGTTGTTGAACACTGAACACTGTCACTTCGCAAACCTGGACCTTTCCAGAAAACACTGGATCGGACACATTCAATACGAATTCAAGCTTCGCAGAGATGCAGGAAGATTCAGAATCTTTTGCGTTGGCAGAACGATATAGTGAAACGACATCGTTGTCTTTGGTATGTAACATTTTTAATTGCGGTGGTTTCATGTTTTCCCCGTTTCGCTTGAAACGTTGTAGCGCTTGCTGAATTTGTTCGGCGTTGGCGCTTTGTCTGGAGTGATAACTGTGCTTATTGATGCTTTTTGTCTCTCCACCGTACCTTTTGCTTGTCTGCCCAGCTGTTGCTGGTTGCTGTGGGACTTGCACTTAACTTTTGACTGCTTCGATCCAACCGTTTCCCTCCACAGTCCAACAAAACTCACTCCAGTCAGACAGTACGCCGTGCACAAGACACTATTCTGTCCGTGGCGGCGAAAAACAGTGCCAAAAACAAGTCGAACACGGTGCATTTGCTCTACACAAGGAGCTGTAGCCAAACTTGTGACGTTGACGTCAGCAAGGCGGTCATGCACCAAGAATCCAAACCAAGCAATCCATGCAGGTCTGAAGTGTTGCTAGGAGGGATCAAAGGAAAGCCCACATGAACGGCTCGACGTCGCCGTGAGAATGATGACACTGCGTGCGGGCAGGAAAGATTTTCGTGGGCTGGAGTGTCTCGGATCCCTGTTTTCGGCTTCTCCCAATTTGAGTGGAATGAACCAGGGCAGCTGGAGTTATTCTGCCATTGAAAACAATCTCACCCGCATGAAGCATCTGCGACATCAACAATCTACAGCTGCGCAAGCTGTCATTGCTCCAGCGTGGGCTCCACGTACACTTACCATACTTAGTCGCATTTGGCAACAACCGGCGAGAACGCCCTGCAGGCACCCCAACTACAACACAACAGCGGCTTTGGCAACTCTCAGCGAGAAACTCAACCATCCGCAGATTCCATTCCCAGACTTCCGCACGCTTCCATGGTTCTCAAAGCAAACCGAACAGCACTTGCAGCAGTGGCCATGTCAGACATTGCTAAGCAGCTGCTGGGACTGGGCACCATTTTGCTGCCACAAGCGGGCTTCTGCAAGCATGTCTGATGTTGCCTTCCAACAACCCGAACTCAAGCAAACCTACCCATCCACATATTCGTGCTTCAAGCTGCCTACCCCGCACAGGTGCTCCTATTACTTGCTACACACATTGTCCTCGAATCGTTGGACCTTGCAAGAAGCCCCCGGGCCTCGGTCATAACCATGAGACGTTGCTGGAGGGAAAAAATCTTCCAACAGGCGACCAGAGATTTGATTCAGCAATGCTTGGCCCTACTGGACAGAGCAAGCGGTGAATGAAATGAACAGTGATTCAGAATTGAAAATAAATTGTTTTCGAAGCAATACCGGCAACGCTGCCTTTCTCTTCTTGCCACTGGCCCTCGCAACCATCAAAGCACTGTCCTGGCTCCACATGCAATTCCAGAACATCAAAGGCATCAAAGAACCGGAGGCAGCATGCTGCACTCGAAAAAGCAACAATGCAGGGCATTAAATAAACTGTAACATGGTATGTACGACAGTGTGTTTTCATCTATAACTTGTCATGGTATGACCTTCCTGTAAATGATCTACTGGCTGGGCAGCCTTGCGAGGTCGGACCGGGAGCAGTGGAAACTGCGTGGCGACGGTGGGATACTGAGGGCGGGGGCAATGGGTGGGGCATTTTGGCGAACCCAAAACCCCAAATCATGTAAATCCCAATCACAAAGCAGCTCTAAGGAAAGGCAAAAGAAATAATCAACACGAATCAAACGAAGCTGTCGACCAACGACAGACGCCAGTAATGCAAAAAACACGCCACTGATGAGCTGCTGGATGACGACCACGAGGACGACATGAGCGGTCGTGGATGGGCACGGGCGCGGGCGAAAAGGTTGGGCGGAGGTCCGTGGCAGAGGTGAAGGTGACAGGCGACAAGGCATGCACTGAAGGCGGCGCAGATGTTGGACATCCGCGGGAGGTGGGTGCATGACGAACCCGCTCAATCTGCCGGTGAGTATCGGGGGCACTGGCTGATCCAAACGCTGGGGGGTTTGCACCAACACTTAAGAAGATTCCTAGCCGGTCCATCTCAAATCCAAGCAGGTACGGGATTGAAAATCGAGCTACCGCAGCAGCCCAGGCATCCACCCCAACAAAGTCCTGAAGCTGACCATAGGCGATGTGCTTCTGGGACAGTTCTGAGGCGAAAAAACGAGATGCCGGCGAACCACTGCACTTCCAGGTCGACCACAGATGCCACACCACGATTCACGGGGTCATCCACCTGATGCCATTGATGTAAGAGCGCCACTCCAATCCTCGCTCCACTACTTCGCCAAGCCATCCGCGTGCAGGAGCTCACGCTGCACCTGCCCGGAATCGCGGCACCCCTAGCTGCCCTAGCTTCGCTTGGAGTGCGGTATGGCCTCGGACGTGTCAAGCTTCTGCGTGTTCCGACGAACTCCCGGCTTGCCCTGCCAAGTAGCGACAAACGAGATCTCCTTCTCGACATTCACATCCTCCGCATTCCTTGACACTTTGCACGCCTCTGGCCATCGCCTCAGACACTGCCCGATCCTGCACGAGAAACCTGAGGCTGACGTCATGTGGCGGCGCTTCACGGTGCCCCCTGCTGCGCTGGGGGAAAGAGGTGCCCGCGTCCGAGGAAGCCGGTGAAGTTATGCTGGAAAAGACTCGCGGACGTCTCACCGTGAACCTCTGAAGGTCTTGTCCGAGGCCAGACTTTGGTCTCTCTGCACTCGAATCGCCTCCACGGAAAGCTGCTGCTCCCGATGGTGCACCACGAAAAATGCACCCGCGGACCTGCAGACAAAAGTCGCGGCTCGGCACGATTCGAAAAGCTTGAAAACTCGGAGCTTGGCTCTTCCGGCCAGACAGGGCTCGTCGTGTCGTAGACCGTCGAAGTTCGCACTGAGCAGTCTCCCAGCCTTGCATAAAATCGGCATAGCCCCATGTCGCACCGGCCATCAACACGCCAACAGGCAGATTCTCTGCTTCATCGGCTGTTCTTTAGGCCCAGGTCTGGAATTTGAATTTGGTTGGACTCACCGGGGTATGATGTCCTCAACCTGTGTTATTTCCCTCATGGCTTCTCGTTGCTCTTTGCATGGTTGCATGTGGCGGAACCAAGCCCTGGACGAAAGCATGCAGTACGGATGAGATGTGAAGCAATCCTCTTTGAAAGCATGGCCTTAGGAAAAGCTTCAGTCGAAATGTCTTTCACCTCAGAACAATCGGTACTCTCCGTCTGAGCTGTGGGCAATTCACACCAGCAAGATTCTTCGCCTGGACCACCTCCGAGCCACACGCGGCACATGCACCACACGCGTGGTCCCCATATTTGGCTTCAAAGGCTTGTACAGCTTTATATAGCACAAGTCAAGCAGGACAACGCCTTCACCCTGGCAACTCCCAGTGGCTGTTGCGCCAAAGCCTGCAATCCCAGGCACGGGGGCTTCCCCGCTGCTTGAGTTTCTAACACATGAATGTCATGGGCAACCCACATGCGTCGATAAGTCGATTCGACAAACTTCGACATCCAGAAAACCTGGTCTAAATAGTGATTGCCTCTTCTCAGAGTCATGTCCAGCACCAAGCTCGCAAGAGACTGCACGCGTTGCAACTGGCTGGAGGACAGGCTGGAAGCAGAAGCAGACTTGGTTGTGGTCAAAATACACCTATATGAACCCGATGAAGCACAGGCTGTGCATGTTTCTGCCCATCGTAATGCCAGTCTTCGGGTGCGAGCTTCAAGCCCCAACAAACGAGCGACGCGTGCCGTGTGGACGGTGAAGACGGACACATTTGGCACACGGCTATGCCGTGCTGGCGTTGTGATCATGGTATCTGCACTTGGTCTGGCAACCGATGTCGCAGTAGACGCGTGAAACTTCTACAGTGACGTCGTCCGGGCAGTCCTGTGACACAGACTTCCCTCTTCTATCAACAGTCTAGCGTGGAGCGCACGACGGTACAACGAGAAACAACCGTGCGGAATTGCACGTGTCACAGGTTCTTCCAGAAGCAATTATTTTTCCTCCTTCTTCTGCACATGCCGGGATGGGTTCGACACGCTAGATGGACATTGCGGACTCTGCGAGGGTTGGCAGAAATACACGAGGAGCCTGCACATGCAAACAAAAAAGGGATACACTGCTCTCGTTGTCGTGATGCTACCGAGATTTGCCTATGCAATGCCACGAGCAAGCTCAGTTCAAGATTGAAACGCTTGAAAAATCCAAGTCTCCACTCTCCAAAGCCCTCCTGTTGGGGCGACACAAGCACGCTAGCAGTCTGGACCTCGAGTTTGTCTACGTCATCTGCCAGGAGCACTGCCTGCCGAACGAAACTGAGTTAGACACGAGACAAAGGCAACGAAAAACAGAAGGCGCAGCCTTGCTCCGCGGCAAGACGATGTAGCTGTTCAGCCAGTCGGCAACGGCCCTCCGAATGGTTTTCTCAATTCCTCGGCGACTCTGAAGCAGCCACGAGTACCCTCTGACGTGAACTTGCAAATAATATAGCATGCATGCATGACAAAGCCAGCTACCCGGGAAGTGGCCAAGCGAAGCCAAACCGGTGAACTCGATGTCAACCTTCTGGTAGCACAATGCAAATCATACTCATCCGAAAGCCAAGAGCATGTGGTTAGAGTTAACGCTTCCAGCTCTGAGGGATACGCAGAATCGAGAAGGGAGTGCCAGCATGAAGACACACAGCTTGCTTTTGTGCTCAAGTTCTCGGATTCATGTATGAGTCGACATGATGTAAAAGAGTCCCCCACGTGGCTTCAGATCACTCTAGACTCTAGACGGCCCTGAATGCCTGTGGGGCAGTGGCAAAGAACATGTGCACGGCACCAGCTACAGGAAATCGCCTCGGCGTGAGGGCATGACCGTCCGAACTCATATTGACTCTCGCTGTTTCCTCAGGCTCATTCTGAAGCAGGGGACGTAGTGACACACACATCTTGCCGTTGCAAATCAAATGCCTTGAGACACCGCAAAGATTGTGGCATGGTCAACACTGCCGAACATTGCGAAGATGCAACCTGCCTCACTCCGAAGGACACGCCACCTCCAGCATCGAAGCTGATGTCAACCTGAGGGTCGGCTCGTGTTGACGTTGGTTGGAATCTGCCAAATGCTACAAGTCAGTGAAACGAGTGAGCTCGCAGCATCGCTCAGGTACTGCACTCCGAGAACCTTATGCTTACACGATCAAGCTGAAAAATGCTCCACTTGATATTCTTGCTGCGAAATCTTCCAATATCTAAGGATGGGTCGAGATCCACTCGGTGAGGTGATTCCAAGACTTGCACAGGTCCCAGCTCCGGGCTTTTCTCGCCTCCAGCCGAAGCCCAAAAACCATCCCAAACCAATGTCCAGCCACAAGTGGCCAGCCCTAGTTTTGACACATTCGACAGCTGACCAGGCTCTACAAGATCCTTGCAAGTGTCGCAAACCCCAAATTTGGCCCTAAGACCTAACAAAAATCTTACCACTTCACCTCACGCTCTCTAGGGATTCGGGTTTAGGAGTGGGGCCCCGTGTTCGACGAAACAACGATTACGGGCAAAACTTTCCTCCTGCCGCAGCATGCCGCAGCGTGAAACCCGCCCCGCAACCTGCCCCCCGCAACTCGCTCGGAACCCAAACCTTATTTCGGCTGAAGCGCTGTTGAGGAACACATGAAAAAACATTGCGGGTGTGTTTCTTCAAGGGGGCCTGCGGGGCGGTTCTCCAAGAAGTATTTGTGCGTGGGCGACAGGTATGCGACGCCTCTTGTCGAACGCTTGATGCCCAAACTTGTTCAGTCTAGAAGAGCCGAAAAGTGAATTTGCCGTCACTTCTTAAGCATAGCTCAGTCTCCATCTCGGAGCTGACGTCTCCGTTTCCGGTCGGCTGTAAGAAGGTCATCAACGTGGAAAATCATCATGCTGAGGAAGCCGTCGCCGTCGAAGAAGAAAAAGAAGAGCAGGACCGATTCGGTCTTTGACATGTTCCCAACCGTGGTTCTTCGATGTTCGGAGCAAATTGCCGAAGCTCCGAACAGCTTCATAAGTGTCAATCTTGCCCGGAAGTGGCGAGGAGTGGGGGGCTGGAGCTGGTCCGAACCATCTTTTTTGTTGAACGTGCAGGGCACAGTGTGTCTGTTGCCCGTCAGCACCGACTGCTCTCAAACAAACTACTTGAAGGCATTGTAAGTATGCAGGCCGACTAGGGTTGGGCATACGGATGAGTCTCCACCTATTTCTCGATTTTGACTGTAAGGCTATACTGTCCTACAAATCGGAGTTTTGTCCATTCGGACAAGCGATCTGGAGCTATGCGCCGCGTACATCTGTTGTAGCGTAGGAACAGTGAAGAAATCATTATGGATATCACAGTGCGTTGGCGGAGCATCAGACTGGAGAATGGAAATCCGCCGAGAAGCCTCTGTCATGCACGATTCGGCCCAATGCGGGCGGCGGCGGCGGCCGGGCCGAGTAGGGGAGAGCACATGCCGATAAGCGTGGGATCCCATAAAAAAGGGTATCCATGTGTCGATATAGGTGACCCAGTAGTTGGAACCGCTGTTGTGAATATAGTTGAGAGGGAGTGGGGATTTTCTAATGTCGTATGCTAATCCTGTGCAGTATTCGTTGCAGCAACCTGCGTTCGTGGGTTTTAGAACTCTATGGTAAAACGATGACTTGATTATAAAGACTCTACGAAGGGATTTAAAATGAACCGTGTTTGTATTTGTGATGGGGAAAGAAGAGCACTGTCCATTGCGTATGTGCGAATAGAGAATACAATGGAGCGATAAACCGTCAGTTTCCAGGAAGGTGGGAGTGAGGAGTGAGAAAGGCTAGGGCATAGGAGTTTGGAGGCTGAGACAGCTTGGGAAACTCGATAATTGAGATTTTTTCGGCCAGACGAGAGCGAATCTAAATAGACGCCTAAGTATTTAACTTCATCCGACAAGGCACCGGAGAAAGATCATGGTCGAATCGAATCCTGAGCAGTGCCTGCAATCACACGGGTGTGCGCACGCTGGTGAATAGTATATTCGTGATCTGAGTGGAGGCGGCGAAGGTGCTCGCGCTTTTCTTTACTGAGCTCCAGTCCGCGGCGGCAGCCATGGTGTTGCATTAAATGGAAAAGACTGTTAAGTTGTTGGGAAAAACAGGAGAACAAAACAGTATCGTCAGCGTATTCTAGATCCCGGAAAGGGGAAGGAATATGAAACACTCCAGGTACTTCCCCATATGCGGCCTCGTAGCTTTGCTGCACATCAAAGACGAGATGGTGTAAGGACCAAACCAAAAAGTAAAAAGAAAGTGGGCAGCCTTGCCGCAAGCCTTTCGTTTGTGTCAACGACAGCTCTCTCTCTCTCTCTCTACCGGGTGTGGAGGTCGCGGCAGCGTCCAGGCCGCTCCCCCCGTGCGCGCACGCACTCCCGCGTTTCACGGGGTGTCCTTTGTTCCCCCCAGGGGTTCGCCCCGGGTCGGCTCGGCTGTACACACTGAAAAGTTTTGCCGAGGCATGAAAAGGGAAGGGCTGTCGGTGTTTCTCCCCACACCACATACGTTCAAGAAACAGCATCAAAGCGAAAAGGAAACTCATCCCCCCTTACCCACAGGCCTTCTGGGGGTCGAAGGAAAAGCTTGCATTTGTTGTCCCGCTGTGTTTAAGCAAGGACCGCCATGGAACTACGCGGGTTGATCGGAGTGAATTTCAGCCTTCTGTTCCCCCCCGAATTCAGTCAAGGCGGCGTGTTGAAAAGAGGCTAGAATTGTAGGCCAGGTTGGGCCTGAGTTGAGCGGGCTTACCTGAGAAGGGTTGGGAGACAGGATCCCCCCAACCTCTGCTTAAAGAGTTCACACCGACATGGGACAGTTGACTGGAGCTATCGAGATAGTTTGCAGACGATGCAAAGTTGAGGCAACGGGCTCAACGAGGATTAGGCACTGTGGGCAGGTTTCAGCAGAACAACAAAGTTGGCCGAAACAAGTTCCAAAACGCTAGACCCAAAACAACATCCCCCCCCACATGTGCGAAGCTCGGAAAATTTTTTGCCACGCTCACATTCACTTCTGTTCAGTACTCAGCGCTGTCGCCTCCCCTCTGTTGCGTGCCATGTGCTGCTGTACTTCTTGTACCTGGTGCCGTAGGTTCGGGATCAGGGCGACGGCTGGTCTTCCCCCTGTCCCGCGTGGCTCCCCTACTGGAGGAGGTCGCATTCGCTTGGCATGTGACTTCCCCTCCGGTCTGCGTGCTCTTTCCGGAGCTGGCCGAAGGTCCTGTGGCTGTCTGGTCGGCGGCTCCCCCGCCGGTTCGGAAGGACGTCTTGGGTTCGTCTCCCGGTCTGACGGTCTGCCTTCGGCTCCCCACGGCCACTGCACATCACCACTTGCGTCTGGCTCCTCGTCGTCCTCGCTGTCGTCTTCGGTGGTTCCTCCCCAGTCGGGCGGAGTCTCTTCGTCCCTCTCCGCTGGCATAGGTGCGGGAGCGGCGGGTCCCACAGTCTCCCGTGCAGCCTCTGGTGGCGTGCGGCTTGCTTGGGCTTGCCCTTGTCTCCCCCGCTTGGGTTGCTGAATCTTCTGAGTCTTCTTCTTCTTCAGCCTGCGGGCGTCCCTCAGGAGTCTCGGAATGCGGTGTGGGAAGCGCATTACGAAAGCGCGTGTTTCATTGGCAATCCTGGGTAACATCTTCACAAGCTTATCTGCAGCTGCTCCGAGGGCTCGCCGATGGAGGAGTCTCCCCCTATAAGAAGCGTAGGTCTCCTGGTCATTCTCCCCCAACGCCTTCTCCCCCTCATAGAGCTCGCCAGTGTCTTCGTCTTGTTGCACATTGCGCCCGATCCATGCGTCGAGCGGGCTTGGGTGAAAAAGCAGGTGAAGCCCTCCCTTTGTCTCATGCTGCACCATCCCCCCAAGGCTTGGTGCTCGCCTGGAAGAGGAGCTAGCTTCTCCCCCGTCTTGGCTTTGTTGTGTCTCACGTGGTTTCCCCTTTGGTTTAGGGGATGCCACTGCCACATTGGCTCTGCTTGTCACACCGTGCAAACGACACGCAGGATCACTTCTCACATGCACTTTCCTTATACCAGGCCTGCAGATCCCCCCGGCTTCACGACATAGTCTGCACTGCATCCCTTCCAGGACGATTGCCTTCAGTTCCGCGAGGAAGTAGTATGGCGGTCCCCCCCTACTGACGGGCCACCTCCCGGAGGAGGGCCGTGGTCAAGGGGTCCCGTGAAGCGCAAACCCCTCGGGCCTCTTAAACAAAATGAGCTGCGGCGTGTGACTCAAGCACCGCTGGGGTTAACGCTCCGGCTCCCCGGAGGGCACAACCTCCGGTGAACCTTCGCGCTCCCCCCCCGATGCCAAGAGGCGGTACAGGCCCCTCAGCAAAGGTGCAGCACTTGAGCCAAAATGGCTACGGCAGCTCTCTCTCTCTCTCTTTCTCTCTTTCTCTCTCTCTCTCTCTCTCTCTCTCTCTCGCGCAGAGCAAGTCCACAAGTGAGACTACTCGTCAGCAGCCCTTTCAGCTGATCAACGTAAAACCTCTAACTGAGCCCAGGATCTACGGTTTTGAGCTAACGGCTGTAGGGTCCTCCAAAGGTCGGTATTACAAAAATATCTGGAATGAGAAGCAGCCACCTTTTTTTCTGTGGGATGATGATAAATCTCGTGGTGTATTTTATTTGGTGGGGGCGGGGGATAGGGGCATTCGAGGTTAAAATCTGATGGTGTTGGTACGCCTGTGTCATAGTAAGTTCGGTCCAATGTATGCGAGGGCGGCCAGGTCTTTTCTTATGGAGGCGTCTGTTGGCATGTGCTGTTTGGTAGGTGGAAATATGTTCAATTGAATCTTCATGTCTAAGTATATGGTTAAGATAAGAAATTCGGGAAGAGATGATATTCTGCGAGGGAGATAAAAGTTTAGGCGTGTACTCATAGGCAAGCTGGGACAGGTATTCGTTGGAACAATCTGCCTCCGAGGGCTCCAACACTCTGTGATAGAAGGAACTTTTAATGTTAAAGATCTGTCTAAGGACCTCGTAGTGCAATTTGTTCAGTTTCGTAAGGTCAGGCTGTAAATACAACTGTGATTCCGAGCCGTACAGAAGGATGGCCAACACAATCTGGGAGTGGACTAGCAGCTTTCGCTTAGTAGTAATGGGGGTGTTTGAAAAAATCATGTAGACATTTGGCCGTGTGTGAGGCCTGCGCATAGCGCTTTTTAGCGTCCGCTTTGGCGGATGAATTGTGTGTTAGGACAACGCCTAAATATCTGCGTGGGGTTTAGGATCTATACGGAATTCTTTGGGTAATTGTGGGTTGTCTTTCATGCAACAGAAGTCGCACTGGCATGTGTGGGCCATGGTATCAGTTAAAAAGATGGGCGAGTCAGTGTTGATGCAGAGCAGCTGGCACTTTTCATGATTCAGGGACATGCCCCTCATATAAGAGTGGGCTTGCAATGTGTGCTATCGTCCATGCCAGAGTAACTTCGCGATGACTTCGTGCGCGAGCATAGGTTTGTCTTACGATCTGTACCCGCGGGAGTAGGCCGTGGCGACGATCGTAAGTAAGTAACTGCTGTCTTGAATGTTGCTAACTTCGAGTGGGTTGGTGACGTTTCGGAAACTAACATACCATTTGCCGGGCATCTTAAACTGTGTTTGTCCTTTGGGCCAAGGAAGCTGACGTAGCGGGTCATCTGCTGAAGGGTGAACGATTTGCTCTAGCCATTGTGCAAAACACGGAGGGACCCTAAAGCAAAAGTCCACATGCTTAAGTATTTTTCTGCATTTGTTCTACATACTCCTGAAGTTCATCCTCTAGAGTCTGCATGAGTGCATGCTCATATCCTAAAACAAGAGCTGGGAGTGCAAGGCTGGGGAGGGCATTGAAGCTGGGGCCATAGTATCTGTAAGACCATTCCTGCAAGCAACGGCATCCTGGACACTCGCCGGCACCAAAAATCTTAGCCTTACATCGGTCCCCTTCCGAAAGCAGCAGCGGGAATGTGTACCCCAAGATCTCGGGCTGGTCAAACGGCACCAGAGCAGAGTATCGACTGGTTTCCAGGAGTCGGGTGAGATTGTCTTGGCCCAGAGGAGCGAACCAGTTATCAACGTGAGTTTGTACCCAGAAGGCACATGCACTCTGCGCAAGGGACCAAAACTTCCGAATCTTCCGGCCGGCTGGCGCAATCCGTCTCCTTGCCACGGTTCTTCCAAAGCCACGTTGTGGAGCGTCGCCCTTTCGGCGATCTTTGGAACTTCGGGGGTCACCGTTATCTCTGCTGGGACGGAAGTCCAGGACTCATTCCAAACCTACCTGTGCTCCTTGGTCTTTGCATTGCTGTCGATCGGAGCACCACCCGTCGTCTTGTTGCTACTTGCCGCGTCCTTTGGGAATCTTGTTGCGCTGCCTTTGTTGGAAATTTTGCCGAATCTTTTAAACTTTTGGAACCTTTACTGCGGTCTTTGCCATAATCCGTGGGTCAATATTGTGAGCACGACTGGGGTCCGTCTGCAATTGTTGCTGGAGTTCGTGGGTTAGGTCTACCGGGAGAACCGCATAGGAGAAAAAATTGATAGCCTCAGACCTAACAATATTGGTAGTAATGTCCATTGTCTGTGAGTGGTGAAAACGCGCTGTGGTGGTACTATGACGAACCGAGTTTTGATAGGCCTGAAGAACTCTAACGGTCTGGAGCATGCGGTTTTCCCAAATTCCTAGGAAAATCTGAAATAACGTGAGTACGGTGCTAGGGAAGGAGAGCCAACAAACAAGGTCACCTTGCCTAGTGTATATCACCATGGCTATCAAGGTCGAACCCTCTCCTGGAGTCCACGTTTTCAAAGTATTCAAATCCGTGCGAAGGTAGCTGTCGAAAAGAGGCGAGCCACTGTCCGTGGCTTCCGACTTCCTTGGTATGGACATCAACTAGTGCTAAAAAAGGCTGTCTTCCTATTCTTTTTTGAATGGAGATGTCTCTCTCCACGCGTAGCTGGGAAACTGCAGATTGATCCTTCGATCGAAAATAGCTACGTCCTTGGCGGAAAGTCTGAAGAACAAAGCTTGGCTTGAGCTTCCCTAAGAAATGTAATGCCGAGGAACCCTACCGAGGACGTAAGGAGGTGGTTCGTAACGATTTGGATGTCGTCGGGTGTCATGTTACACAACCCTGGAGGGTACCAAAAGTTATCGTCCATGGTTTTTTTCGGGACGAAGGGGGGAAGCCCAGGGATAATCACACTGCATTTGTGCATCTCCGTAGCTACAGATTGTTCGGAGAGTCTTGTTATGGCCTGCGAGGCTGCTAAGGTTTTAAACTGAAATTGAAGTTGGTGCTGAAGTTGTGTGTGAAGTTCCTGCAGGGCCGAGTTCACGAAGTGATTGTGAAATTCTTCGATTGCTGTCTTAAGGTTGTCCGTAGTGATATTGGGGGGGTCCGGGGGTCCTGGGATCCTGAAGCATTCGGCGGGATCGGGACATCGGTTGGGAGCTCAACTTGGGCTTTAGCAGCACCGAAGCGGGCTTGTTTAGCTGGTTTCCTCAGGGCTACGGGGTCAGACTGTGAGCCGGAGGCCAACTGCGGATCCATATCACGCCAATGGATAGTATCTTCCTCAGAGGGGACTGTGTTTCGACTATGGTGGCTGAGGCCTCCTGTCATAGAGCTATCCATGGACCTAGCACGTTGGTTGAGGTACTGCTGGAAGAGAGACTCGTACATAATCCGTTCAACTGTTTGAATGGAGTTTTCTGAGACCATACGATAAGTGCCATCCTTCAAAGCCTGTAGGATCAGATTGGGACCAATTGGAGTATGACCTCGTCGGGTTTATTGGCTAATGCATCCGGAGATGGCGCTACAGCTGCGTCGGGGAGCAGGTGAAAAAAGAGCTGCTGCCATGGCTTGTGCGGGCGCGTCGGTCATGGTAAGTGTGTCGTACTGTGAGTCTGGTGGAACAAAAAAATTGTGATCTGCAAAGCTGCGAAAGTTAAATGCAAAACCTGTCCTAAATCTAACGGCTAATGGCGCAATCTGCGAAAGTGTTGCGTGAATGTTGCACAAGTGTGTTGTGCTCTGTCGGCCCCTTGTGGGCCCTACGGGCTCCCTGGGGCAAGGGATCACTCTGGCTCGAGCCTGCTCCGAACCATCTCTCTCTCTCTCTCTCTCTCTCTTTCAGTTTGAAAGGGACTAACAAGCGGGGAAAACAAAGAGTCGGCGGAAGCATACAGCATGGGGAACAAGTTCATCACTCTGGCTCGAGCCTGCTCCGAACCATCTCTCTCTCTCTCTCTGTCTCTCTTTCAGTTTGAAAGGGACTAACAAGCGGGGAAAACAAAGAGTCGGCGGAAGCATACAGCATGGGGAACAAGTTCAAGGAAACTACATATGCCATGGAGATGTCTGTACAGGGCTCTTCGCAACCCTTTGATAAATTTCCCGGCCACCGTGTGGAAAAATCTTAGTCAGACAGGACGCTTCTATAGTCGCTATAAAGCTCACCCGACACACAAGGTGAATTCGCGACCACTCGCCGATGAAGACGGATCACCTGATAAATCAGGTGACGTTAGCGTAGATCATGGGAAGGCCGTGGTCCCCCCGGTTCGCCTCATGTCGGCTCCCCTACACAGCATTGTGGAATAATTCAAACGGGGCGCTTGCTAAGTTGGGGTCAATGTCATCCAGTGGGGAACTGTTGTGCAAGCTTTGACAGATCGTATGTAGGGTAATCCAGAAATGTGCCCAAGCGGCCAGGTCAAGTAGGACAAACGTAGGGAGGCAGCACCACTCCCACATCAGTCCGGAAATAGAGCGTGGGATGACATTCAGACCCACACAAAACCTCCAGAGTCATTTGTTGGCAAACACCATACCAGTGAAAGTTGTTGGTCAAGTAGGAAAAGACTAAGGAGAGCCCACTCTCCACTGATACTCTGATCATCATAGCGGTGGAATTGAGTACCGACCTGAAGTTGACGGTCAGGCGCATGTGCTTGTATTGGCAATCGGCACGAAGTCGTAATGGCAATCCCTGCGGGACATAATGGCGATCTTGCGGTTCGCTTGAAGCTAATACCATGGCAGCATGGATAAGGAAAGGGACGATCAACGCTGTCTTGTGCCAGAACCTGTCCCAACCATCTCGGCCATGCAACAAGTCCCATGCCATTTCCTGGTATTCTTCGAAGTCGTCCGGGTCACCGCCGTATCGGGGTACCCTCCACTTTTCGGTCTCCAGCATGACCATTGAGACATGTAGTTCGCGGGGTTGGTGGGCCGCCAAGGTAACTTCTTATCAACCTTTAAGCCAAAGTCGTCGCGGCACAAACGTTCAGCCAAAAAATTCTGACATGGCTGCTTCCACACTGGCCGGTTCACGTACAACGATGTTCGAAGATACTGCAACTCCACGGCAACGGGCACGCTCGCACCAGTTGAACGGACGCTTCAGATGCATGCATTCGAACACGAGACAACACGAGATTTCGTTCACGGCTTGTCAGCTTCCTGGCTTAAAACTGTCTATTTTCATCATGCCAGCTATTGAGAAGCACTGTCAGAAGCTTTGGCACGACATGACAGAAGGGCGTCTAAAGGCAAGCTTTCACAACAAGTGCTATCACTGGCTCGTATCCCACCGTACAAGGCTCTTGCTGCGCTCTGTCGTAGCCCTTACAATCTCAAAGGCCCTGGCCCAGTGTGAAGCGGGAGCATTTCACATGCCTGGCCCGCACCCAGTTCAGCATGTTTGTCTTCCAATGCAGTTCGTAGCGACTCATCCCAAGCATCTGTGGGGCTATACAGTGGCCGTGCAAGTTGCCGGATGGTGCCTTAACATAGAAGGAAGCGCATCTCGCAGCCTGCAGTTGCGCTTCAGCTGGCAAGGTTGACAACAGAGAACAGAACAGTTGCAACAGCGCGCTTCCCCGCCTGGGCATGAGGTCCTCATGCACGAAATCCATTACTGCCCTGGACGCATCGAAAGCTCATCAAGAGCCCTTGAAATAAGATTAGCATCTCTGCCTGTTGAAGCTTGGCCACAACCAGCTAATCAAGGCATTCAACCAGGAGAGACTGCCAAGCTCTGCGAAAGACTCTGCACCTCGATGAGCCGCATCAGCAACAAACAGGAACATCTATATCGTCAGTCCGGCTCTCTCTCGCAGCTGCAACACAAGGGCTCACACGGCTGGGCAACCTTGCCGCAAGGGGCTTGTCACCACGGTCAACTTCATGCCCAGTCCTTTGCACAATCTGCATCCGATTGCATTGTCTGCTGCTAGGGCCCTGTACAAAAGCAAATGGTGTCACAAAATAACAACAGCTAGCCAGTAGCCATTACTCACTTTCAACAACAACTGTAACTGGACGTTACTCCTTGGTCAACAATCATTCGACAGTAGCCAGTAGTGACAAGTCATGGCTCGATAAATCATACTCTTTGCGCTGACTGTCGACGGGCCTGCCAAGCACAGCGCCATTCAGTTATGATGGCAACTCATGCAAGTTGCAAGTTGCATGTTGTGCTTCCGTTTGGATCGTCCTTGCCTTCTGGGTCTCATCTTCCCTGGCTTCCGTCCTTCGCTCGTTGCACCTCCCTTCTTTTCTTCCTTTCGTTGCTTCCTTCCTTTGCTTCTTCCTGGCCTGCTTGTTCTTTCGCTTGATCCGTGCTTTTGATGTCATCGCACCGCGACAAAAACTGCAAGTCCAAAACAACACGAAGTTCAGACCTTTGTCAAGCAGCCTACACAACCCCTAATTTAGGCCGTAAACATGGAAAGACTGGAGCAAAACAATGAAAACAACATGCAAGACAACACAAACGTGTCGGAGCCATCTATTCTGCCCACACTAGTCGGTTTATGTCCGGGGCAGTACAGGCGACAAGCTCACTGATCAGCTACAGGCTATAGCATGCTCCCTTTTCCGATGACCGCTGAATAGTGCGATGTGCTTTGGGTTGAACAGGTTCACAATCAAACAGGAATAAAAACAAGGGCCGGGCACGAAGCCGGCACAAAAGATCAAAGTTAAATCGCCGAAAGAGAGGTCCTACTCGGAAAGCAGAGCGGACGGCGAGGCCATGCTTCGCGGAGACAGACGGACTCGGGGCGAACGGACCAGTAGCGGTTGCGCTGCACATGCCAAACACCCAACAAAACCTCTAAATACTTGAACATGCCGTGCAGCAACGTTTCGGAAACGAACTTGAGTGAGCACCCGTTTGAGTCGAGTGAAACAACTCGAAAGGAAAACAAGCGAGAAGCTTTCGCTGAGGCTTGAACGAGCTTTGTGTCTCGGCCACCTCGACGAAGCGTGAAGCTACCAAAGCCAACGACTGTAATGATTAATGGCCATGGCCATGGCGCAAAACGAACCCAGCCTTTACATGGCTTTTTGTTGTCCGAGACTCAACCTCGAGCTGGCGAGGCGTCTCCTCCAGAACTTGTATCCCTCTCCCATCCCCACTGCCCCCGCCCCCGACCATCTGTCATCACCTGACCTCTTCCATTGCATGGCTCCGTGGAACTTGCATCGCTCAAGGAGCCGTCCTTTCACAGAACATGTGTGTGCTACACAGCTTTTGTACTCTGTGCCAAAAGTCCTGCTTGCCATGGAGCTTACCCCATGCTACCTGCGAGTAGCAGCTGCCAAGCTGCCCTCGGAGAGAACAGTTCCACAGGCAAAACCCTTTTCTGAGCAAGCAAAGACAGGCCAACTGGTGGGACCGGGAACGAAGGAGTGCCTGAGCGGGAAACAGCGCACAAGCTATGTGCGCATCTCTTTTGGCCACGGCCTGAGCTCACAGGTGCCCCCTTTGTGGCACGGGTGAGAAGCACGAATCCAGAGCTATGGTAGGCTTACCTTCACCCGACCAACATAAACGTGTGGTCAGACTGCTACCAGCTTCGGGAATTGTACCTGCAAATCTGCGAGCCGAAATGAGACTCGGTCAGATTCACAGGCCTGGCCTTGTGTCGCCACGGCGCCTGTAGCATGTTCTTACAGCGTCTAAGCTCGTATGTAACAAAGAGACACCATTCTACCGCGCCTCGGCGGCATATTCACTGCCAGTGTTCGGCGGCAACAGGTACAGCCTTGAGGGCTGCAATGTGCATCAACGGTGCAAAAAGCCCAAACGAATTGAATCTGAAGCTTGGCAGTGGAGCCTCCGCCAAACGAAATTCACGTCATGTTCGCTTTAAGCAAGTGTTTCCTGAACGAAAAACCTGGGCAACGGAAACAATAGATTCTCCGAGACGCTCAGCGCATTACGCTGCCAAAGCACCTCCGGCTCTGCGGGCAAAAACCCACCCAAAGTAACGATGGGTACCACTGACGAGGCACGAGACTTCGATGCGCGTACATATGCTATCTTACAAGAATGCCTCAGGTTCTCTCAAGGTCATTCCCCTGGTACAGAAGAAATAAATGAACAAAAAACAAGCTTTTTGGAACTACGACTGGGCAAGACGAAGACAGACACGAACAGTGGCTTCCGAAGACTTGCGAAGGGGGTGTGAAAACATGGCACCAGCAAACAAACAGTCCGTTATTCCATCACTTCGACACACTGTGGATGCTTTCCACTATGCTACAGGTTGTTGACATTGCTTCCCTGTCATGTGCTTCTCCGTGTTCCTGTCTTTCCTAAGCTGCAATATCTGGTTGACCTATGATGATAATGAGGCGTAAGCACCTTCTTGCTGTAGCAAGGCGCAGCCAACAACGCTTTCGTACGCACTTGAACACAAATCGCGCCCTGAGCTCCAACGAGAACCTGGCTTCCTCCCCGGCCTCACCCCCACAGATCGTGCAGCGAATCACCTCAATATGTGTGAATGCAACAGCTCCAAAGCTGACGCACACTAGATCTGAGAACCGTGCGATGGCAAGCTCTGCCTGCGTCGAACATGCAAGTGTGATACTGCCTTGAGGCTTGTCGTGACATCATGTCAAGACATTCAGCTCATTCTGCAGCCAAAAGTGATGCCTATGAAGCCCCATCTTGACACTGGGAAACTGCAGCCGTTCAAGCTAGAGGTGGGGAAACATCTGACCACATTAAGAAACTCAGGAATCCGATGGCTTCTCAGTGTCTCAGCAATCTACGGTAGCTCTAGGACGAAATGGAAGAAGCGTTGCGAACAGAGGCGCTGGCACTCAAGCCAGTTCCACAACCAGCACACGAAGTCCAGCCGTTACGCCCCCCGCGTGGTGTAAGCCTGACATTGAGCTTTTGCCAAATCCACAGATGCGAAAGCAGGAGCCCGCTTAAGGCCTGAAGCATTGATTGCAAAGCAGAGACCCCATGCCTGAGAACGAGAACGGGTCACAAGCGCATTCGGAGCTTGCAGAGGCCCGAGGCCTCCTAACCAGGGAAAAGCAGACGCCCAAGGAAGCTCAAAGGCCAGGGCCTGTGCTGTCTCGCTTTAAGCACATTGCTCCTTGCAGCATCCCTGTGCCTCAGAGCTTCCTTTACCATTCACCGCATGAACCTCACACTGCAAACCAGGATGAGATGATGTCGAGAGCTCAAATCATCTCAGCATGCCGCTGTGAGCGACATGGTCTGGCGGAGAACTCGATCAGCAGCCTTGGCTGCAAAACTGCACAACAGGTGTTCCATCATGCTCAACAGAATCATCTTGAGCACCCTGCCCACATAACGTCCTGCTGAGTTGGTGCCTCCTTTGGACGAAACTTCAGATATGCAAGGCCCCGGCCGGAGTTGAGGGAAGCGTTGCAAAGGGCAGCGATCGAAGAAAGGGAGAGCAATATTGCGCACGTTGCCAGCACAAGCCTCCACGATGATGAACTGCGACTGAAGTGGCGGCAGGGTTGCCAGCAGCACCTCGCAACACATCAGTGCTGAGCAAGATATCAGGATATTGGCAAGAAGCAAATCCTCAGTGCGCACCCAATCGTGCGTCTCTCCAAGTTCTGTGCAGTGCCGTGGACCCCACACCTTGTCGGGGGTTGGCAAGGAAAGAGTAGTCAAGCTCAGCCGGTCTCGCATCGTGCCTCGTACTTTTCCACCGGTGCTGATGGATCCTGCGCGAATCATTCGCCGATAGGTATCCACAGGAAGTGGTGGGATATTCTCCGGACCTCCGGAACAGAAATGGTGGAGCGTGTTGTTTTGCTGCTGCGTACTTGGAAACAAGGATGGGCTGTGAAACGGCGGGATGATACTTCACTCTCTTTGACACGGGCGCGGATGATACATTACCTAGTTACCCGCAGAGCCAATCTCACAGCACGTGCCTCTGAGATCGGCACTGTGTCGTGTATAGCCAGAACAGTCACACACGCACACGAACACACACACACACACACACTTCGGCATGGCAAGGCTGACTGCAACGAGCGGCCGACAGGGACCGACAAAGACGACATTTTGAAGTCGTGGTTCAGAATGGAAAAGGCCCCGACTCCTTTTCTGGATTGGGTCCTGCCTACCTGATTTGCAAGTACAAAGTTCGGCGTCCCACACGTCATGCCTGGAATTGCTAGCTTCGTTGGCCAGCGTCACAACACCATGTGCTGCACCCATGCAAATTGCACAACTTGCTTCTTATCACCATGTCCGGGTATCCATGCACACAGCTTGCTATCGGCTACATCTGCAAAATCTAAGCATTAGTGCATTGTCATGCAGGAGAGGTGAAAGCAATGGAATCTTCGGTGCTGCCTCGTGACCATTGGAGAATTTGCGTACTGCTAACCATCAGTGAAACTTCTGTCTCCCAGGTTCCAGGACTGGAATGCTGTAGCGGCGCTGGAGGGCAAGTTTTCACCATCGCATCCTTGCACGTTAAAATTGGGAAAACCTCAACAAATTCGCAATGGACAGTTTTGCTGCTGAAATCAAACAGATAGTCTTCATTTACATATCAAACCAAGGGCAGAAGTTGTGCTGATGTGCGATGGCAGAGAAGCTGATCATCTTCAGGTGCACTTTCGAAACTTGTGCACACTTGCAAACCACTGAATTGATCAGCCGCTGTCGCTGCAACACTCCAGAATTGAGATTCGGCGGCAAAAGCTAAACTCAAACAAAGTCCGCCCCTTCCATTCCCCACGCTCAGAAGGTTCAAGACGAGCCGGACATTACATTACAGAACTGAGAAACATGCTTTGAGAAAACTGGTGGATCTTTTCGCCGACTGCGAAGCTATCTGAATATGACTCAAGGGCCCTAACGGCAGCGGGAAATATACACAGTTAACACATGCATGTCATGGCCATGGCTTCCTGTACATGTACAACAGAGGGTGCATTCACACTCAACCTGTTCTCATGCCATGACATTGAGGAAAATCTGAATTAACCACATGAGGTACAATAGGCATTGTCCTCCGGAAGTGGTGTCTGCATGCTACCCTAGCACCGACTCAGCTACTATGGTACATACAACGTATGCCCACGATTGTAGCGTCTGCAATCTACGTCTACAGCTTAGCTCGACTAATGCTGTACTCACCAGATTCAATCACCTTTATGATGAAATCCGGTTTCATGGACTTTGTGAAACAATCAGCGGCTTGAGTGGCTGTGTCGACCCAGTCCACTCTATCTCCACCCGCAGGGTAGGCCTCAACCGTGCGCATGCCGTCTTCTGTGAAGATAGACTGGCGTAGAGCGCTAAGCTCGATTTGCAATCGTTTGTCTTGCACACGGGACGGAGCCTCCGTGTTGAGGTGATCGGCTAAGCTGCGGCAGTCCGTCAGCGCTATGTGCGGAACCTGTGTTCTCGCACGAAGTTCCCAATCGGGACCACTACTACCGAATCCGTAGATTTCGGCTAGGGCTGCTCTTATGCGATCCCCTGCCTCTTGGGCACTTTGGAGTGCGTAAGTCTCAGCCTGAAGAGTTGCTCTGCATACTCTTTTGATTGTGGTAGATGAGAACGACACGATCATTGTGTCGTAACGACTACAATTTGGATCGCGAAGCTGGGCAGCTGGAGCGAGAAAATGGATCCGTCCTTGTTGTGATCGGTCTCCCTTTTCACCCGCAAAGCTAGCGTCTGAGGCTGTCAGTACGCCCAGGCTCTCGAAGTCAAAAGCACCATTTTTGTATCTTAGCTTAAGGTCGCGACCCTTTAAGGCAAGTTCTAGGACCTTGTTAGCCTCATGAAGAGTGCTAACAGTTGCACCTTTTATCGAGCTCTGAAGCTTCGATACGCGGTATAGGATATCTGGCCTAGCTTGCCTAGAAATCCACGAAAGGCTGCCGACTACAGAACGTAGCTGACGTTCTTCACCTCGGTCAATAAGATCCGAGTGTTTCCTTCCTGCCTTGACATCAATGTAGGTGATCTTGTTCGTGTTATCGGTAACGTCGATTAACACGTCCTTTCCAGATATGTCGAATTGCTTACCGCAGAAGCGTAGTCTCCCCGACTCGCGGCGGCCTACTTCGAACTTCTTTAGGAGCTTATCTATGATAGTTCCGCCCTTGCCTATCGATGCCCATAAGAAGTCATCGACATGTGTTGTCAAGACACAGACTACTTTTCCGGCGGCGCGG